GACGCTGGGTAGATGTGAGTTAGCTGGGCCACCAGGGCCTGGCAGTGTGACAGAGGAGGGAGCTTGGGGGAGATTCCTGGCTCTAATTCCCAGATACCAGCTGGTGCAAATGGTGATATTTCTGGTCTTGGTACAAGAAGTACATTTTGCTGAAATATGTGATTGATCCAATTGCAATGTCTTTAAAATGAAAATAGTCTCCGTCTCTTTGGAAGGGATACAAAGCTCAGGAGGGGGAAATTACATAACTCAAGTTACGTAAATGCAGAGCCGGTGTTTCCTCCTTTCTTCTCCTGCTGGGTCTCTCTTACAGGACTCATGTGACTGTAGGAAGCACGTTCTGTTTCCTTTTGGATCATGTTGAATGTCTGGTCACTATTCCTGAGACACGCACTCCATAATGTGAGGAAGTCATTCCCTGCTTGTCTTGGGTGCATTCAGCTCCCCTCAGAGTGAGCTGTGTGCATGCTGACAGGATGAGGGTGTTCCCCGCCAACCCCACAGCGGGTCTGGCCCAGCCAAGCACTCACGGAAGTCCACGTCTCTGCCCTCTGCCAGCCTCGGCTGGAATCGAGTTCTAGTACAGAACAGTGCCAGTGTGTGCTTTGGAAGTGCTGCATGTGTTCTGTGTGCGGGAGGGAACTCTGCGCTTCCTGCTCATCTCTTAATGCAAAACTAAGACTGCTCTCAAAGCAGCTTCCTGCTTATAAAAATAAAAAGAGTTCTGTAAGGAAAGACCGGAGTTCTGTTAAAGACAGAAAGAAAAAAAAAAAAAACCTCTTGATTTAAATATCCCAGTGACCTCTCAGTGTGCAGAAATGGACACAGGGCAGGAACTGTCCTGCCGCAGACAGCAGACCTGCAGACACCGAGGCTGGGAGTGACTGATGGTGACAGGTCCTGACCTGCAACCAGGCACTGCAGCCACCTCCTGGATCTGTCCTGGGATCCTGTGCTGTCAGACAGGGTGATGGGGGGCTGCTCTGGCCTGATTCACACTGGTGTCCCTGGGAACGGGTGCCTTGAGAAAATGAACTGCATCTTCTCCTGTGGCCAGAAACCACAGCCTGCCTTGACCTAGAAACTGGAATAGAAACAGAATGAAAAGCTCAGTGGTCCTCCACAGAAAGAGGGACTTGGGCTCTTTTATGGTAGAGAAGAAAGTAAAACTCATCTGTAGATTTCTTAAAGAGACCACACACTTCCCCGTCATAACCCCAAAGCCAGATATAATTAAGATCAAAACCAGATTTTCTTGGAGGGACTGAAATGGATTAAATCAAATACCATGCATCTATGACTTTGTCAAAATGAACCCAACTACTATGTATAACTTCAATGCTCTAATAAAAAAAGAAAAATTAAAAGAAGTAACAACAGATCTCCCTTGGGGTGCTGTCGTGTTTGGAAATCTGAGACCACTTCTTTGACAATTTCTATTAGTATACATTTAGTAATCCAGAAAATAATCTATGCAATTGAGCATGGAATAGGATTGCATTATTGACTGATTTGAACATACTGCAATTAAATATTTAAACAATGAAAAAAAAAAAACCAAACAACAACAATGGTAGTAAGAGGCAGGCATAATTACCTGGGTGAAATCTAAGCAGAGAGAATCTTTCATTATTTGCTTTTTTTAATTTCTGATGAGATTTAAAATCTATGACAAAAAAAAGTGTTAGTAAAATTAAGATAAGTGAAACAGGCATAATTACCCAGATGAAATCTAAGCAGAGCAAATCTTTCATTATTTATATTTATTTAATTTCTGATGAGATTCAACGTCCTCGGATTTTGCCCTCTTTTGTTCGGCTTTATTAAGATTGCTAACACTCCCCACACTTGCCTGTCTTTGGTTTTGTTATTATCACAACTGCTTTAGAAGAAATTTTTGATTTTTGTGTAATCAAAGCCTTGTCGGGGTTCAGTTGGGACCCTCGTAACTGGAGACATTGGAAGGAGGGATGGCAACGGCTTCCTGTTTTTTCCAGATCAGCCTGTTCCCCAGGACACATCTGACCACCTGACCTTCAGTGCTCACCTCTGCTCAGGCCTCAGGTCCTTGAACAGCTCTGGTCTGCTCCACTGTTATGGAAAACCTTGAGGAGCTCTGAGCAGGAACGGTGCAGCAGACCACTGAATGGTGACGTTTTCCTTCCTTTTCTGTCTTATCCTGCAGAACAGTTCTATCAATGCCGACCTTTTAGAGACTGACTTTCAGGTCTCCCAATGAGCACTGTGCCTGGGTGCCAGCTCTGGGCTGGTGTGACCATCCTTGATGCTAAGCAAGGTTTTACTTTTCCTTTTTTGACTTTTAGTGTTGGGGAGTGTCTTAGTACATTCGGGCTGCTGTACCAGCACACCACAGACTGAGTGGCCCAAGAGCAACAGGGATTTATTCCTCACATTCTGGAGGCTGGAAGCCCAAGGTCAAGGTCCAAGGCCAAGGTGCCAGCAGATTCAGCATGGGTTGAAAGCTTATTTCCTCCTGTGGGAAGGGAGGAGGAAGCTCTCCAGGGTGCTGTTACACCAGCACTATGAGGGGTGGGGTGTAAATGTCCAGACCACAGCCCTGTAGTCAGGAGAAAAGTCTCAAAGGCAGATCTGTGGAGACTTGATGAGGGATGGCAGGCTACATTTTGGGCTTGCTCTCTTGTGCAGCCCATGAGCTGTATTTGAATGAGTTTTGGGAAGAACTGTGGGGGGCATGGGTGCAGTGGCTAGACACTTCCTGTTCTCCATCACCTTATATCATAAACTGACTGCCATGCTTGGCACCTTAACTGCAGAGCAGCTCATACCACTTCCATCAGCTGCTAATGGCAAACCCTTCCTGGGCTTGAATCCTGAGCAGCACCATGTCTCAGTATTTTATTATCCTGGGATCCTGCATGACTCAGAATCAACAGAAGATATTTTAATATCAAGGAAAATAAACTTCTATTGTAAGTCACAAGATGTTGGGAGATGATTGTTACTACCATGTAATAGTGCCCATCCTGACTGATACAAGGTGTGTAGAAATGCTTGATTGAGTAGGGTTGACTCAGTGGAAGAAGAGTACAGGTCTCAAAAGACTATTCTGAAGTATACAGTCATAAACTTAGATCCACAGGATGCTTTACTTGTACTTAAGTTGTTTAATTTAACACTGGCAAAGTCTTCTCATTTCAAGTTCTTGTGTGGTCCTTAAGAATTAGTCTTATATCGCGCTCTCAAGCCTGTTGCAGCTCTGCAGTTGCTGTCTCAGGACCCCACAGCTGGCACCAGGCAGCCCGATGCCCTCCTAGACCCTGACTACAGCTTCTGGACACAGTGTTGCCTTTTTTTTTTGCTGCTGGTTCCAGATGAATCTTAAGATTCCTTTTCCCCCACATCCCAGTGGCTCCCTGTTTAACATGTGAGCAAATTCAAAGGGTCAGCTTCATCCTAAGGTCCTATTCAGAATCAGGATTTTCTTTTAATGAGCTCAAAATTCTCATGAAGGAGGCAGATTCTTAGACAATGAGCCAAAGCACAAATTAGATGGTCAGTTAAACTGCTGAGGCCGAAGGGCCAAGTGTCAGGAAAGGAAGGAGCTGGAGTAGCTGGCTCTGCCTCGGAGAAGGGAAGGCTTCTAAGAGGAGGTGGTGTCTGAGCTGGTCTTGAAGAATAAGCAGGAGTTCCTCTTTGAGTTTAGATAGTATTTCCCCACGACTGCCCTGTTTTTATTTTGTTCCTCTGAGAAGGGTAATATCACAAGTTGTTCTTATTGAAATACCAATGCTGTAATAGGGACTAGCCTTTCAGAAGGCTTTTTACCCAAAATTTGACACAGGGGAGGTAAGGGTTGGCAGTGGTTGAAGTGGGGATATCTTTCTGAGTTTAGTGCTTCTGCAGAGGGTGACCCTCCAGGGGCCCATTCAGTTGCTCACCAGGGTCGTCGATGCAGACTTCAGGTGGAATCAGGCGCAGATACTACTCACCTTCACGCTTGCTGAGCACTGCGTGGGGCGTGCCCTAGGCCAGACATCAGGGGTTGGCAGGGGTTCTCCATAAAAGGCCAGAGAGAGAATCTTTGAAACTCTCCTGGCCAGACGCCGTCTGCTGTGACTACCAACCCTGGTGCTGCAGGGTGAGAGCAGATTGAGAAAAGAGGCAAACCCCAGGCCCAGGGGCTCCAGCAAAATCAGCCCCCCCAGGCCGCAGGCTGGCTGGAGCCTGTCAGCAACTGACTGCCTGCTGACTGCTGCGCTATGTGATCCCTTTTATTCTCCAAAACAAAACAAAATCAGGACAAACACAAAACCCAAGTGAAGTGGGCAGCAGGACCAACTCTGCCTAGGGACGAGGAGGATGAGGCTCTGGAAGCTGAACAGCTCAGCTGGACTTTGAACTTGCCTTGAGCTTTCCTGAGCAGCGTGGCCGCACAGCTGGCCCAGGTAAAGGCAAGCGCTCAGCACGAATGGACCGGGGACTCTTCCTGCAGCATCTTTGTTTCTGCAGAAAGAGAAGCCGATAGCGTCAAATAGAAACCAGCCCCAAGTCCAACCGGGGGTGGGTTTCCGCCAGCTCCCCAGACCTCCTGGTTAAATGCCATAGAGTGAAGCCCATCCCTGACACAAATGCTCTTTCTGACTTCACATCCTGCCACCAGTCCTCACTGAAACAAGAGCATGGATGGTTCATTTTCTCTCCCCATCCTGGTCTGATTTCAGTAAAGACACACCCTTTCCTGCAGGGTACAGATTTCATTTCCAACACAGGATCAAGCTCCATTAGCGCCTGTGAGCAGACAGAACTGGAACCAGAAGAAGTTGGACCCTCTGTCCAAGGTCTGCCAACATGGTGATTATTAGACTCCTCTTTATACCAGATTGGTTTAGTCAAGCTGCCTGGACACAGTGCTGGCAGGTTGGGTGAGAGGAGTGGTCACAATGCAGCTGAACAAACAGGACCACTGACAGCCCAGGTGGCTGGGAGGGAGAGAGCTTCAGCAAGGTCTCCTTGGGCTCTACCAGAGTGGCCCAAGGAAGGGGGCACATTCACAGGGAAGAGAGTGCAGAGCAGCCAGTATAGGGGAGAAGACTAAGAGTTCAATTTGGGGTGATTACAGCTTGAGGGACTGAAGAGGCATCCATCCAGTCAGAAATGTTAGGCAGCTGGACACAGATCTCCAGGTTCAAGGTGGAGGTCAGGACTACAGAGGTCAACAGCATAGAGATGGAACTTAGCCTCCTGGGTCTGTTGCATCTGGACAGATGCTCTCCCCCCCTCAGGTGGCATTCATTTCTGTCTGGATCAAATTCTGTTCATCTCCAGTTGTGCAGGAAGTAGAACTTCAAGACCCTGGTTCCGGAAATCCATAGCAGACAAACATCGTCCTACTGTAGCATTCACCACCTGCAGGATCCTGCTGCTACTCAGGAGGAAGACAGCAAGACCCCGTCTTGCTGTGGGACCTGAGGAGAAGGAGAGCTGCAGACCAAGGCCGCACAAGGTCATGGAGAGCAGAAGGTCTTGTGTTTATGCAGAGATTCTGAGCCTACGACGGGAGGTGGTAGCGTCCCTCTCCTCAGGTGCCCATGTGTCTGGGGTCACCCTGTCCAACCTGTTGTTACCTTTCTAAAGGTAGCTTTTTGGTCCTTGGAGAAAAGGGGATATGTAGGCTTTTATCCTGTGGTTGGGGTATTAGAGTCTGAGGCTGTAAGATTGTCTGTGTCACTTAAGATTGAAGCCCTGGACTGAAGAGTGTCACCACCAATGCCCAGATTCTCACTTGCAACCAAATCTGGGCTCTTCTAGCTTCCTCCTCCCCTCCTCTTCCTCTCTGTCATCTTTTTATTTTTTAATTAACCTATTTTGTGGACTCTGACTCTGGTTGGAGGTAGGTGGGGACCATGGCTTGAGTGCAGCTGGGGTTTCCATACTGCGGGGCTAGTTCTGTAAACCAGCCGGCTACTTGCAATAGTCCTCAACTCAAGGACCGCACCTTTACCACACCTGGTTTAAATCATGTTTCCAGGGAATTTTGACAGCAGACGCTTTCCACCCTGTGTGCTCTGGAGGCTTGAGCTGTGTGTCAGAGCCCGCTACATTCTATGAGCTGCAGAGAGAGCTTCTATGAACTTAGCATATTTTCTAAAGTTTGCAAGGTGATGTCATTGTTCTCTCCAGTGACATCACCTTGCAAACTTTAGAGGAGAGCCGTAGTTTTCACCTGGTGCATGCACAGTCAATCTAACAGGAGGAACTGTGAGTTTTTGAGAAGTTAGAAGACAAGGCATGGATCCTGTCTCAGAAAGGTGACACTCTGGGACACTCAGGAAAGAATGCAAACCCACTTGTGCTGGGAGACTAAGCCAAAAAGGGAGTAATGCTCAGAACCACAGCAGCTTTCTCCAGGCTGTGGCTGCATTCCCTGCCTCACTCCATCTTAGAAACACGATACACAATGCTTCCACTAAGGGGAAAGGTTTTGGAAAAAAAAAAAAAAGACAAACTGCTTCAAGCTTGTGAAAATGAGAAGTGGCTATGACCAGACACTCACCAGTCCACTGTCCAGCAGTGTCCTAGGTTGGCCTTTGCTGTCCTGACTCGGGAAAGGTTCTAGAGAGGGAGAGACACTCCCCACTGCATGGCAGCTGGAGTCCTCCATGCTGGGAGCCCAGCCGGGCTTGGCGTGCACAGGGCCATGGGGACACGTGCTTGCAGACCACCGGGGTTGGCATGCATTTGGTTTTGCTTCCCCCTCTTCTCCTGGAAGACAGGGCTCAAGAAAGCGAGGCCATCCTACCCTGGTAGGTTATTGGAGGCGATTCACAAGAGCCACCAACCAGATGATGCCATGACCATCTCTTTCATCAGTGGCTTTAATTTCATTTTTTTTCCCAGCTATTTAGACACAAAACAAAATAGATGAGATGATGGAAATCCACAAACATTTGGTTTAGGAGATTGTAGCATCAATGATCCAAAGAGTGCCTCCCGGGTACCAGCCTCTGTTTACTGCACAGGTGGCTGAGAACAGCATAAAACCCTG